GCACCCACCTGCATGACACAGAGAGTTCTACTAGGGTGGCAGGGGCCACACCCGTCCCAGGTTGAAATGCTCCGCTTGCCATTTTCGGTTATTTGCGAGTTACTGACCCGAAATTGCGTCGGGCGCGGTGGCGGATTTACCAAGCCTTTGGTGGGATTTCGTAATTTATTATACTTCTGTTAAAATGTTTCCTATATAAAGTTCAGAAGGTAAAATAGCTATCTTTTATAGTTCACGCATAGCAAAGCTATACCCCGGGGTATAGTTTTTGCTATCCACCCTCGGAAAATTTTCATGCAATTTTTGCCTCCAATTTTGATTTCCAGCGATAAATCTATTGACTGATGATGTCATAATGACTTCAGTAGCATTGTGACGTCATCAGGATTTCAGATTATTCTTGCAGTATTATCTTACTCCCAAAAAATTCAGACCTTAGAAATCATAATATACATCAGTATAATAAAACACTTATCCACTGTTTGTGAGTGGGATAGCTCTTTTATCAAACCCTTGACAGGAACTATTCCCCTCGGGCAAGCCCTCGGGGAATAGTTCCCTGTCGCGGGTTTGATAAAAGAGCTATCCCACTCACAACCATTGGATAAGTGTATAATATTCGCATCTCATTTTCTACGCACTTCCTCGATATTTGCGAAATGTTCGACAGGAAAACCCAGTTCTTATGCTAATACTGCAATTATACATACTATTAATTATTAAATTGACAGTGAGAAAAAAGTCTGAGTGAGTTTTTCAAATCAAAATTAATTAAACATGTTAAACTTACAACTAAATCAAGGGAATAAAACAACTCTCTCAACATTATAGTCTTTTTAAAAAGCAAGGCCTTGTCCGAAGGAACCGGGTGGTGGTGGGTGGGCCGGGTTAATAAGATATGTGGGGAAAAAAAGAAATCGTATGATAGCGTTTCTTTCTTTAACCCCCCCCCTTTCCCCAAAGAAAACTAACTCAAAAAATTTTAATTATAAAATTTAGCTTATTTTTCTAAATGTACATGAAAGCAGAGATAAACGTTCTGAATTGAAGAAAAATTTACGAACAAAAAATACAGATCTATTATTAAATTAATTCATGATATGATTTATACTGATATATTTAACATTTGTTTAAAAAAAATGAATTTTATAGTAGGCGGCTATATTCATTCATTCATTCATTCATTCATTCATTCATTCATTCATTCATTCATTCATTCATTTTCATTTATTTATTTATTTATTTATTTATTTATTTATTTATTTATTTATTTGAAATGTTTTAATTTAATAATATAAATATTAAATAATCTCATGCGCATGCAATTAATATTGTATTGATTTATTCAACTTTTTCCCCCCCACTTTTTTTTAAGGCTACGTACATAATTTTCCCCTGTATAAGTAACCTGTTTCGTATTATATCTAAGATATAAGTTATAAATTATTAAATATACACATATAATATGTAGAAAGTATATTATTATTAAAAAGAAAGATATCTTTTTGTCAGCCCGCTAGCTGTTCATTATATGTTACAGTATTGTATTTCAAGTCCTAGAACCCGTTGTACATGTACCTGCTTCAGTTTTAAGCTACAATATATACTTGATCTCAGAATAATCCCGAAGGGACATTCCTGTATAAAAATAAAACTAATACTAAGCTCTCCATTTTGTTTCACATTTTTCCGTACCCCAAGGAATGACATTTTTTAAATAAAATATTATTTTATGAAACATATTTTAAAATAACAGTATTCAAGAACAAAAGTCCATGAAACAATTACAATGTAGGAGTAAAATAGCAAATACGGACCTCTAAAACATCACTGAGGTGTGGGATCAGGTGCCATGAAGGAGTAAGCATCCCCTGCCGACCGGTCTGATTGGGTCACACCTGCCGAGTACTCCTTGTCATGATCAAGAAGTAACGAAAAAAATCCGTCGTCAATATTCAGTGTATAAATAATGGACTAACCATTAGTATGAAAAACGTCAGTCAGCATTTGACTCAATGATAAATTGACTATTTGGTGACAAGGTCATTGTATGACACATTCACAAAGTATTATTACAGCTGAAAAATACAAAATTTTAGATAAAACTGACCTAGCTTTTGTAAAAATTCATATATACTCACTGAACATGTGAAGAACTGTATTTTATGTGCATTTTATTACAGCGTCTTCAGGAGGGAGAGTAATGTTCATTGAAAGACTGCATATGTCTGATATGGTCTTTCGACTTTTTGTTACACACAAGTGTTTTACGACAGGACACCCTCCCCCCCCCCCCCCAATATAGACCCCGGGCCTTTTTCTTTTTTTCCCCAAATTATATATAGATGGCACATTTGCAATGTGCATGAATGACATTCATAAAATTAGGCCTAATGCAATCCATAAATTCAGAAAATTTGCTGAAAAACACAAACATCTTATTTAAAAAATCTACCCCACTCTTTATATGATATAGAAATTTGCAGAGTTACTTAGTGTACATAGTAAATTTACCAAAAATGACTTTGAACCCCCTTTAGAATACGTGCAACCCCCTGTCGTATGGAAATGTATTATACAGAAAGTTGGATCCGCGCGTTTTATTTGGTACTTCCGCTTTTACAGTGAGCTCACGCGAGAAGAAACGCGATTTTGCCTTTTCCTCGTGTCCACCATAATGAAAGCTCGTGGAGATGTAATTTCAATTAAATTTATATTTTTGTTGAATTTGATTGCATTTCTCTTTGTAATGATGTAAACACAAATAAATATAGTTCTAGTATCTTCAGTTAGGTGTACATTTTTCACTTAAAACCCCACTGATTAGGGAGAAACGACATTATTGATAAAAGGGGGGATGGATGCCATGTGCTGTTTTGGATTTATTGTCAGATGTACATTTCGCTCAGAATCTTTGCTTTGACGTTTATTCATTGATCAATATTCGTGTATATTACAAAGTAAACAAATGATATGCGCAATGTACATTACACAAATATTTTCACTGTGTGACTTACTGACTATGTAATGTATGCATAGAAAATAAGTTTGGAATTCATTTTTATTATTTTTTCCAGTTGAAGGAGTACCAGGTGGTCGGGCGGATGATGCCCCGCCCCAGGGACCGTACCCCTGCCCTGTACCAAATGAAAATCTTTGCCCCAGACAAGTGTACAGCTAAGTCTAGGTTTTGGTACTTTGTGTCACAACTGAAGAAAATGAAGAAGACCCAGGGGGAAATTCTCCAATGCAGAGAGGTGAGTATTTTAGATGGTTCAAATCCTGTAAGTATGGAATATGGTATTGGTTATAATCAATGAATATCATAGGTAATTGCATAAATATTGCATTCATTGTAAACATTTCAATTATGACACTGAAGAACTGACAAAGGTTGCAGTGTTCATTCTAATCTCAGCGATATTTTCGAGGCGGGTAAAGAATTTGTACTGAACAATGTGCCTTTCCGAAGAGCGTCATTAAAAATTTTAGTTTGAATAAATCTTCAGAGATTATGCTCATTCCTGAACCTTTTAAGTTTATGCCAAGCTATTTTTAAATAACTGTATAAAATTTTGAGGAGGTAAGAATTGATATATTACTGATGATGTAGATGGCAGAAAGCTCGCAGACAGTTTGGGAAGTGCTTTAAATAACCTCCTAAAGTGTTTATCTGCCAAAAAATAAATGCACACCAACATAAGATCCCTCGTCTAGTTGTGTTTACTGGCTTGAACGAGTGTTATGTTGGACAACTGTATTCAGTGACATTATGATTTTCTGTACACTGTATTTTGTAAGCACTAGAAAAGTGCACACTGTGTCTGTGTATGTGTACTTGATAAAGCGGGCTTCATATTTTATCGACTTTGCCACTGACAACACTGCGCTAATTCATGAATACCAATAAGATTTAATAATAAATACATTACTTGGCAAGGAAGGTGTACATGTAGTCCTAATTCATGATAACAAACAACTCTGTACAAAATGATTGCACTAAATTTTAAATATCGTATAATCCCTATTAACCGCCCAGAACGCTTAAAAAATTGCGAAAAGGGGGCGGTTATTATGGTATTTTCTTTATAATATTTAATGTCATATTTTTTTAACTTCAAAAAACTTTTGAAAAAATATAAATACAGAGAGCCACAAAAATAATGTCTAACTTCACTTTAAGGACATACCCAAGGTACCTTACGTACTGATAACTTTTCAAGATATTCTAAATTTAAACTTATAATAACATTATATGTTCTTAGACAAAAAAAAATCAACATGCATTACCAGGGATTTTAAAAAGATATCAAATTATGAAAAATTTTGCATTATTCAAAGAAAATGTACAAAAATTACAAAACATAAATTTCAGATTTTTTTTTTCATCATAAATTGTTTTAGAAGAGGTGTACAAATCCATATACAGACATTAAAAGTATTACCCATACCAAAAAAAGGTACAGATTAGGCATGCCTATTCTTGATAAATATAGGCACAAAAAAGGTATACTTTAAGTATACAAGTTTGGAACCACTTCTTCAAGTATAGGTAGCAAATTGGTACAAAAAAGGCATACTAAAGGTATACTTTTCAATGATTCATTTTTTCTATTTCACATATAGGTACATTTTAGGCACACATAAAACATTAGATTGAGCAGTGAGGCATACCTAAAGTATGCCTATACATAGTATGGCATATAATTCTAACAGTCAGATATGTACATTTTAGGTATACCTAAAAGGTGCCTACATATCAATCTATTAGGTACCTTCAAGGCTGTGCCAAAAGTATGCCAGAGGTATACCAAAAGTATACCTACAAGGTACCTATATTGTACCAAAAGCATTAATAGGCACATTTTAGGTACTAAAAAAAGCACAATATTGGCACATCATCTAACTAGACCAGTAGGTACATTCCAGGCATACCTAAAAGGTGCCTACATATCAATCTATTAGGTACCTTCAAGGCTGTGCCAAAAGTATGCCAGAGGTATACCAAAAGTATACCTACAAGGTACCTATATTGTACCAAAGGCATTAATAGGCACATTTAAGGTACTAAAAAAGCACAATATTGGCACATCATCTAACTAGACCAGTAGGTACATTCCAGGCATACCTAAAAAGTGCCTACATATCAATCTATTAGGTACCTTCAAGGCTGTGCCAAAAGTATGCCAGAGGTATACCAAAAGTATACCTACAAGGTACCTATATTGTACCAAAAGCTTTAATAGGCACATTTTAGGTACTAAAAAAGCACAATATTGGCACACCGCATAACTATACAAAAAGGTACATTTAAGGCATATCAAAAAATGGGCTTTTGTCGACAAATCAACCACAAAACCCAGTTAAAAATTTCTTTCTCCATCAAATGTTTTTAAATTTTTGGCCTTACATGAAAAATACATACTTATCATTCCTTGTGAATGGGGCAGGACTATATTAAGGAAGAATTTAACACTAATTATCAGGTACAAGTAAAAATTTATTATATGATGCTACATGAAAATATATATGAAAAATATCTCTTTTAAATCCTATCTATAAACAGTCAGGGGTGTGATTGAAATCCATCATTTTTAAAAATGATGATTTTCAGTCATTAAATTGATTTTTAATAATGATGGAAATTCATCTTTTTTTAGTAAAATGATGAAAAACAGTCATTTCTATTTTGAAATTTATTTTAGAAATAGAGTTATCTCTGAAAATAAAAATGACTGTTTTTCATCATTTTTTATCAAATTGTTAGGTCTGGGCGCACTTAATTATCTCATTAGTTTTACGGGGCGCACTAAATTATTTTGGTTTCAATTACTTGTCAAGATGTTTCTCTACACAAGGGTCTATGGCAGGATAGTGTACTATATCTAATTACTGTAGTGAATGGGATGGGAAAATTGACTTGAGAATGGAAATATGATGAAAAGACGTCATATTTACAAAAATAAGAAAATTGTGTACATTATATACTTAGAAGAAATGACCATTATCCATCATTTTCAAAAATGACTGATTTCAGTACCACCCCTGACTGATAAACAGAATCTATATATGACAAATCTCCTATATTAAAAAAAAAATTAATATTGTTACCTTTAACAAAATAATGATATTTAATATCATTCTTTGCAAGAAAAAAATAAACACACCTTTTCAGCATATACAAAACATAATTAATGTAATTTAAATACACAAAGACACCGTAAAGGTACTGAAAGTATACTCCATGTCATGTCCTTTTTTGGCCACACATTATTCACTTGCTGCATGTGCAATTTATGTAATCTTCATTACTTTCATAGAGTTCCTACCCAATTGGCACCACAGAATTTCTGCACAGTAATAGACCCTTTACCAGGGTAAATCCTCGTTGCTGTACAGTTGCGATTTTCATCTGGACTCCTTATAAAAACTGATCCTCCATTTGAATGTACCACGCAATTCCTTCTTTCTTCTTTCATGCCATTCCCTTCAATTCTGAAAAAGTTGTTGCTCTTGAGTCTTCACTTACTGAGTGACATTTGAAATTATTTTCAAAAATATTAAATAGATGAAACCCATGCCTGAATCTATAGGGGAGGGGTCCGGGGGTCTGGAACTTCCTTCCTACTTGCATTATGTATATATTATGTTATTAAATGTAAATATACTTAATCAATTAAAAGTGATTTGGACACCCCCCCCCCACCCCTACCCTGTGAAGATCTGAAATTCCTAAAATTTACAATGTAGTTTGATAAGTGGTGATTAATTTTACTATTATTATATATATATATATATGTATTTTTTTTTCAAAAATCAGATTAGATTTCATACTTACTGACAGAGTTATAGTCTTTATGCATTTCCCCCAAGTTTAGAATGACTACAGGGGACAAGAATTTTGCTGAAAAAGAAAGTTTGTTCATGAAATTATGTGATATTATTATTAACAAAGTTTACACTAATTTGCATACATTCTTATTTTTTTTTAAATATAATACTGAAACACTGTCACTCTGAATTAAATGATGTGTGTCATACCCCCCCCCCCCCCCCCCCCCCCCGGCATGAACCAAGTGGAGAAATAGGGGTTGAAATGATTTTATGTAAACTTATAACATAAATTCAAATCAGTTAATTTTGTTATCTTATGTTTTATAAATGCTGTAATTTTGATACTTTAAATTAAAACATGTTAAAAATTACCCCCCCCCCCCCATTTTTTTTTATATAGAGATCTTTACTTTATATTTCAAATTCCATATGCCAATGATTAAATTTTCACACTGATCATTTGAATTTCTGTTTGTTATTATCGCCATGCCCATGCAGAGGCTACTGTACATAACCTGTTCCGCGATATTGACACATTAATTACTCGTATAATTTTTTTTAAAAGACTCTGAAACTGTGAAACACTTTTTATGTCTTGTTACACATCAGGTTAAACAAAATAATTATTATTTATATGTCTTTACTTCATGTGTAGGCTGCAGCACTGGCTACACGGCCATCTTGAATCAAAACAAACCAAAAATCTACGGTACAATTACCTAGAATTTCGTAAAATTTTACTTGATAATCACATTCTAATGCATTCTTTACGGGCACAAATACATTAACAACAAGCAGCATAAAAATTTACACTGAAATAAAGACTCACCGACCTATAATTCTCCGATTTCTTTTTGAGGTTTTCATCTCGGCCAATTTTCAAATCGTCTCTGTAATGTCCGCGCTATCCACTGACCAATCGTAGACTTCGCTGGAGTCACGTGATTTTATTAAATTATTCATAAAATATTTCGTGTAAACAATTAATAATTATAACAATGAACATTTAACAATTATTTAATGAAGCCCCAACTTAAACTGAAAGCCGATTGCGATGAAATCCTTGAAATTTAGCGTGGCTATTTTGGGCAAATAATTGAACCGCCATCTTGAACGCCATTACTATTTTGTGTTTGTTTACATAACTAATAACTCTCAAATTGATTAGGCCCCCTTATTTTTTTTTAATTATTCATAATTTTCTTACGTGTTGGATTTCAACTAAAATCTTTATTAATGTAACTGACACAAGAGAGTGATACAAACATCGAAATACATGTATATATGGACCATCATGTAAATTATAACATGTATACAATCCATAAATGCTTAGTATGTGAATAATTATAAATGATAAGCACCTGTATTTTGTGCATCTTGGGGGCTATTATTTGTATGAAATTTCTGTAAATGTACACATTTTTTTTTACTGCTACTTCCTAACTACCGGTAATAGTTAAAGCATTTCTATTTATTTCATTCTGTAATTTATTCTTTTGTATTTTACCCATTAATGTTGAGCTGAAAAATCTAATGAAATCACCATTTTGTCATGTTTGTGGAGAACTACATGTGATACACGAACAATTTCTGCAGGGTGAAGGTCATTCGGTATTAACACCTGTACGTGTCACTGAAGAATACTGTGGAAATCAACATCGTTTTGCATTCAAAGATAAACAAAGTCTATTTCAAAATACACCAGTAACTGGTCTAATGGATATAAATATATAAATTCTCACCCTATAAAGTTAATTTAAACATCCCAAACATTTTTGTAGTTAAACGTACGAGAGAGAGAGAGAGAGAGAGAGAGAGAGAGAGAGAGAGAGAGAGAGATGCCGTGATCGCGTAATGGGACCTCTACTGGACATAGAGATGTGCATATAAATTTTATTACTGATAATTTATAATACAAAGTTGTATCTGTTACAACTAGAGGGGTTTGCTAGCAAACCTGGTTTTAAAAAAAAATGTATTTAGTTTTTAAAACGGTTAATATCCTAATAGTTTATCAGTTTATTCACATAGTTAAAAACATTCATTTATCATTAAATTATTCAAGAGCAAAAGAAATTAAAGAATAATACTGCAAGAATAATACTGAGAAGCATCGTAACTAAGCCGATTTGGCTGTTGATTACATGACTTTGTGTCCACTTCACTAGATGCACGGACTATACCTGATCTCTCTGTGGATTACCTGTGTATTGTGTGCGTTCAAGCGGAAAGTGATTTCCTGTTTCTAATTGATATATACATATTTCACAGTATTGCAGAATTAGTTTTATAAATGCAACAAGTTGATAAAATGACATGTAAAAAAAATAATAATAATTTAGCAAGTGTGTGTGTGTAGGGGGGGGGGGGGGGGGGTCAATGGTCAATATAATTGTATAGTGTTTATAAGACAATCCCCTATGTCTTAGAGAATGTTAATCAAAGTTACTAAGAACTGACACTCTGTAAGACAAACTAGGGCATATTTTAAGAACAGAAATGGATCTTTACCTTTTATTTTCCTTAAGAAGATTAATTGAATTAATGATAATTACATATTTGGCATTTGAGAGTATTCAGTAACAATGTTATCACCCCTCCCCATTTTTTCTTTCCACAACACCACTATATATTATACTGAGGACTTGAAATAATGATGTTAAATCTGAAGTATAATGTAATTAAAAATTAAATGCACAAATTGTTGAATGATGATTCAACCCCACCCCCCACAACCCCACCCCGCTACAAAGAATCAGTCATATAATAAAGTATTTAAATTCAGGCACTTTGAAAAATGACTGAGTCCAAATTAGGTACATTTTAGGCACACTGGAAAATATATAAGTTCAACATAGGTACATTTCTGGCACACTGAAAAATGACAAAGTTCATAGTAGGTAAGATGGAAAATATCTAAGTCCAAAATAGGTACATTTTAGGCACACTGAAAAATGACAGAGTCTAAAATAGGCACATTTCAGGCACACTGTGAAATGACAAAGTCCAAATTAGGTACATTTTAGGTACACTGAAAAATGACAAAGTCTAAAGTAGGCACATTTCAGGCACACCGTAAAATGACAAAGTCCAAATTAGGTACATTTTAGGTACACTAGAAAAAAATTAAGTTCATTTTTGGCACAGAATAGGTATGCCTTTTCTGTACCTATAATAGTAGGCACACATTAGGTACTGAAAAGGCACAAAAAAAGTATGCCTATATGTACCTTTTTTTTGTATGGGTACACACAGGTCCTTCAATTAGTGGAACTCTTCAGCTCCAGGGAAGAACCCATTCAAGTTCGAACTACGTTGCGTATGACCTTAAGGGAAGATAATCCTTTAACCAAATTATGCTAAATGATTCATTTTCCACTGAGAAATTGGATAATATACAAGTTTCATTTTCACTTTCTTCAAATTTTGGCAGACTTTTGATACAGTTCTAGATGATTTTAATCACTGTACACAGGGATTAATATAGGTTTTTGGGGAAACTACCCTTTCTGAAGAAATTGGGAAAGTCAGCCGGGGTCTGGGAACCACTCGAGCAAGTGCAGGGCAGGCCCTGCTTGGGGGCAAATTGAATTTCAGCATTTTTATGACCATTTAAAGTGCATGTAGTAGCAAATTAAAACCATATTTCTCATATACTGAAAAATTTCACTTTAAATTTTCAGTCTCTGTGACGGAAAAAAACATTTGAGGGTTTTAGCTCTTCTGAGCCAAAGGCTCAAAGAGCTAATGCTATGGCCATTTGTGCGGTGTGCGTAAACTTTTTAGAATATGGGCCATAATTCAAGAACCCCTTGGCCAATCAGTACCAAATTTGTCACAGGGTATCCTTGGCCCAAGGGCTACCATTTATACTAAAATAAGGGTTGGGACCCTTAAACAAGGGGAGACAATCAGGAAAACAAAACCAAAAGTACTGGTTGCTAAAAAATCTTCTTCTCCATAACCACTAGGCAGATTTTCACCAAACTTACATACAAGGATCAGGATATGTCGAAGATTAAAATTTGCACGGGGAATTACCCTGGGGCAAAGGGCGTGGTCTCAAGGTCACTTCAAAGTTGACCTAAATTTACAATTAATAAAAACATGTATATTTTGCTTACTATAAGGACTAGGATCATCAATTCTTGTAAGTTGATGCATCTTACGACTTCACATCATGTTAACTCAAAAGTAGGTCATGGTGACCTACTTTTTAAATTTTGCGGGGATTTCTTTTCAAATTGATTTGAAGGCATATTTTGGACACTTTAAGGCCTATGATCATCAAACTTTGTGAGTTGATGCATCTTGGGTCCTCAAACAATGTCAACTTCAAAGTAGGTCACCGTGACCTACTTTTTGAACTTTATGACTTATCCTTTTAAAATCATTAAATCCCATTATTTCAGACACTGGGAGGTTTAGAATCATCAAATCTTGTACTTTGATGCATCTTGGGACCTTAAGGTAGTCCGATCCTCAGGTTTATAAAATTAGCAGTTAAGTAAGCAAAAATACTCATAAAAGTATCTCTGAATCCACAAAGTTATGTAAATTTATCCACAGTATTTCTTTAAAGTAAAATATTAAAGTTAATCATATTATATAGGGAAAATAGGAAAAGCAAATTGGAATATCAGCAATGTATTTTCTAATTGCAAATTGATCAACAACAATATTTTAAATTAAAAAATGATAGGTATCCAGGCATTTAGAGAAATTGTCATAAATTTTATACTTATTTGGTATTTTTTGTCTTCTATTTCCGTTATGTATTCTATTAAACATAGTGTAAAAGTCTTTTGCTGTCATTGCAAGACACCACAAATCACTTCTGATTTCATATCATGCTAATAATCATTTTTACCAAAGGCTGAATTCAAGAAAATCTTATTTCTCTAAAACTCTATTATTTTTTTCTTTTTATAGGGTACAAATATCAACTTTTATAAAACCTTTTCTAAGACTTCCAATAACCTTGAATTTTATAAAGATGAATAAAATGAAAATTGTTGCATGAAAAAATTTCATTTTCAAGCTTCATTTTGATGCATTTCAAATAAAATATTAATTTTTGGAGTTATCCTTCCTGACTGAGGATCGGATATCCTTAAAACATATTTATGAAAAAGTAGGTCACTGTGACCTACTTTTTGAATTTGTTTTCAAATTGTTTAAAACACATATTTTGATTACCTTCAGACCTACGATCATCAAACTTGGTCAGTAGATGCATCTTGGGTCTTTGAAAAATGTTGACCAAAATGTAGGTCACGATGACCTACTTTCGACATTTTATGGCTATATTTAAGTATCTTAGGTATTTATTGGCTTAGAATCATCAAACTTTGTGAGTCCAGGCATATTTAGTTTTCGGACAGTGACGACCTAAAAGTAGGTCACGGTGACCTACTTTTGACATTTTATGGCTTTATTTACAGATGTAAGTATCTCTGGGACTTATTGGCTTAGAATCATCAAACTTTGTGAGTTGATGCATCTTGGGTTTTCGGAGAGTGATGACCAAAAAGTAGGTCATGGTGACATACTTTTGACATTTTGTGACTATAATTACGTATCTCTGGTACTTATTGACCTAAAATCGTCAAACTTTGTCAGTTGATGCATCTTGGGTTTTCAGAGAATGTCGACCAAAAAATAGTCACAGTGACCTACTTTTGAATATCTCAGGTACGTAACAGCTTAGAATCATCAAACTTTGTCAGTTTAGGCACCTTGTGTTTTCGGAGAACGTCGACCAAAAAGTAGGTCACTGTGACCTACTTTTGACATTTTATGGCTATATTTAATTATATCTGGTACTTATTGGCTCGGAATTATCAAACTTTGTCAGTTGAGGCATCTTAGGGTTTCATTGAATGTCCAACAAGAAGTAGGTCACGGTGACCTAATTTTGAATATCTCAGGTACTTATTGGCTTAGAATCATCAAATTTTGTCAATTTAGGCATTATGGGTTTTTGAATAACGTTGACCAAAAAGTAGGTCACTGTGACCAACTTTTGACATTTGATGGCTATATTTAATTATCTCTGGTACTAATTGGCTTAGAATCGTCAAACTTTGTCAGATGATGCATCTTGGTTTTTCAGAGAATGTTGACCAAAAAGTAGGTCATGGTGACCTACTTTTGAATATCTCAGGTACTTATTTAATTAGAATCATCAGTCTTTGTCAATTAATGTATCTTGAGTCCTCAGAAAATTTCAATCAAAAGGGAGGTCACTGTGACCTACTTATGGTATTTTATAATTATATTATAATATCTTCAGTCTTAACTGGCTAAATATTATCAAACTTTGTAAGTTGATGCATTTTGGGTCTTATGATTCTAAAAGAGTTGGAGGCTTCTAACAGAAGTGATAGATTGTACAATTTGTCAGAAGAGCGATTCAAGGCCCTTGGGCCTCTTGTTGTTATTGTAAGGGGAATATTTTACTCATCAAAAGGGGAAAATTAGATCTTCAGGGGAAATTTTCTCTAGGGGAAAAACATCGAATATCGGTAGTAAATATGCCCTAGATTAATCCCTGGTACAGGGGGCCCTTATTTCCTGACAATTGAAAAACAACTAGGGGCCGCTTATAGGTGCAGGGGCGCTTAATATGGATTATACAGTAAGCCACGTTAAGTACACATAGTGATACATAGGACTGGGATGATACAACTTTTTCTCTATCGATACATATCACGATATTTGAGCCATGATACGATATGTATCACGATATGTTTAA